GAACCCTGCGGTACACCTGTTGTCGTGACATATTCATACGATGTAAACCCGTTATAAAAAACATAGTTTATTCGATTTGAGAGGTATGACTTAATAAGAGCAATAAATGATGGTGCAAGACCAAAAGAACTAAGTTTGTTTAGTAGCAAGCCATGATCAACCATATCGAAAGCACTAGAAAAATCGGTGTAGACAACATCCACTTGACCAGCATTATCTAATTGCTCACATATAAACTAATAGTTATTAAATTTGTTATTGTGGACCTACCAGGTAGGAAGCCGTGTTGATTTGGGGATATATAGGGCTGAATGTGATTGAATATGGATTTGTAAATTACTTGCTCAAAAACCTTGGCAAAATTAGACAGAATTGCAATCGGTCGATAGTTTTTCAACTGGGTGTAATCATTTTTCTTGTGCACCGGTACAATTCTCGCACGTTTCCAACGAGTCGGAAAAGAAGAACTGGAGATAGCTTTATTGATAATTATTGTCAATGGTGTCGCTAAAGCATATCTTGCGTCGTGGGTCAAAAAACTGGGAATTTGATCATCTCCCGCAGTATGTTTAATAGGAAAAGATGCCATAATTTTCACGACTTCTTGGTCAGACACACACATAAGTTTAAAAGATGGAAGATTGCAATTGTCATTGGGAGTCACATTTGAGGCAGGGTGATATATACTTGAGAAAACTTGTGCAAAGCCATTCAGTATTTCTTCAGGAGTTTCAAACGATACGTCACCTTGATACATTTTACCGAGTATTCTTGTAGTACCTTGCTTTAACTGAAGATATTTAAAAATTTCGCGGGGGTTATTTCGAACTGAGTTTTCAACCTTCATTACATAATCTCGATAAGAAAGCGATATTTGTCTTTTACAAAGTGCCCGAAGTCTTTTATATTCTTCGAAGAATGAGTCTACATTTGATGATAACCACTTTTTTCTATAGTAGTCTTCAGCTTTTAGGTTAGAGATAATACTTGGTGTAAACCATGGTGGATAAGAAGCTTTGTGACTACAGGCGGCATACTGAGGCACGGAACAATTCAAAATGTTATATAGATGATCATAGAATGTGTCAAGCGCATCATCGACGTCAAGACATTTTTCCAGAAAAGTCCAGTCAATACTAAGGAGGTCATCATATAAATATAAGAAATTGGCTTTACGGAAGTTATACCTTGTAGTTTTTGCAGAGGGAAAGAACGATACATTTGACTTAGACGGATATTCAACGTATAGTGACAAGGCCGGGTGATAAGAATCTTCTTTAACAAAGGGGTGTAGTTCTCGGCTTACAACAATTTTCTGAAGATTCGAAAAGACTAAATCTAGTCGTTCATTGTTCAAATTACAAATGCTATTATGTTGATGTAGTTGAAGTGAGTCACAAAAACTTCGGAGTGATCTTACTTTAGGACAATTTGTATGCAAATTATTAAAATGGGGTAAGTTAAAATCACCAACCAACAAAATAGATTGGCCTACCAGAAGAACCTCAACAGCCTCAAAAAATAATTCATAGTCCGCAAGAGAGACCTGAGGTGGAATGTAACATGCTGCTAAGAACAAAATATGTGAGCTGCACTGACATTTACAAATAATAAAATCAATTAGTGGAACTAAATTTCCAATAGCTGCAGTGTCAATTATTTGATAGGTTATTTTATTAATTAAACCAGCAACCACACCACCACCCATAGTACGAGCCACAGTGTCAAATTTTCTGTCGCATCTTACTACATTATAATTAGACGGAAATAATTCAGCATTTTTAACAGAATCATTCAACCATGACTCAGTTACAACTATTATATCAAAAGCAAGTTCACAAGCATTAACATAGAAAGTATGAGTTTTAGACCGTAATCCCCTAGCATTTTGGTAATATAAAGTAAGATTATTTAAGATACTGTTGGGCTTATTCAGTTTAAAGTGGGCAGAGTAATAATCGTAGGAATACCATTTCTATATTTGATTCGTAGGTTATTTTCACCATTTGTTATGCGATTGTTCATCTCAAATTTCGTGTTTTTATAAATCTGAATTTGCATAGGGGTGCGATCAGAAGATATGGAAATACCAGCAAAATCATTAGAAGTTTTAAGAGAAGCAGCATTCTTTAATGCAGTGTTCACATTATTAATAGTAGGTAATATTACTTTAATAGGCCGACATCGATTATCTTTTGAACCATCAAATCTTCCTAGTCTAAAGAAGCTTATTTGTTCTTCATTAACATTTAATGTGGAGAGAATTTTTGGTACTACAGTCTCATCTAATTGAATCTGTTCTTTATTTGATTTAACATTATCCTCCTTGCAACCATATATAATAATATTACATTTGCATTTCTCCCTTTCAGCTACTTCTTGGACAATTTTTTCGGCCTCGAGTAAGGAAGCAGGAGAACTAGGAGATTGTTGATCGAGGACAGTCGACTTCAAGGTTTTAATATCATTTTGCAACTCGACAATGACTTTTTTCAAATCAGTTATATTGTTTCCCAGTTGAACGCAATTTTTACAAGTATAGTTTAAACCAGAATGTTTGGTATGTATTTTCCTAGCCTCAGCTGCTGAGATATTAACACAATCGATCTTAAAAGCTTTATCGCAAATACAACAATTTACGGTTTTGTGCACTTCAGCAATGGCACCACAGCAGCTACAGTTTACATTACTCCTTGTAATTGTTGTACTAAAAAGGATAAAGAACAGGGACACTATCTTCACACTAGCGGTGTCAGTCGCAGTGGCTTAAAAGAAAACTCACAAAGGTAAAATGGCAACGGTAAGGGTCAGCAGTGGAGTACACAGGAGAAATGAGAAAATAATGAAACCGATTTAATTAAGCGTGGAGGCACTGTACAATAAACACAGTGAGAGAAAAAACTACTCAGAAAAACATGCGCGATAATCTATTGGATGATACCTAAGTGTTGCTAACTTACCAATAAAATTACGAATCAATTGATGATTACAGAAGGAAACAGATTATACCACACTAAACAGCAAATTTAGGGCTATCCAGCAATATAAGTATTATATTTAAATTCACAAAGGAACTTTGATAAATTTGTATTAATAGCAGACACGATGCAAACGTTGATTTGCGAGTTTAATTAATTTTTACACTTATAAACAGATTTAACAAAGACAATAATTATTAATTACATATATTCAAGTATCAACTTCTGTAAGACATCCTAAATTGACATTTCCCTTCTTGAAAAATGAGTACGCATTGGTAATCATTCTCTGTAACCTGAATGGCCCCGATGTTGTACCAACACCAATCACGAGTCGAATAGAACAACAAAAGATAATGATTTACAGTTATTGCAAGGAATAAATCAACAAGTGGATATTCACTCTTGCGTCATTATGAATTTTATACGTAATGTCTGCCATAGGGTCCATATTATTCATTTCAGGTCGCTAGAAACGACTAATAAATCTAGTATCTTTATTTTTTGAGCTATGTAATTGTGGACACCATTTTTCCTATTTAAAATCGGCTTAGAAGTGTCAAGCAGAATGATTATTTTTCCATAAAATGTCAGTAATGTCAATGTAAATAAATTAATCTAGTTCGTCTACAAACTTAAATTCTGAGTCATCCAAACAATACGTCAGATCTACACAAACATTCGATTTAATCTTCAACTGTATAAAACGTAAGGTTAATAATTATTAACAAAAACAATAATTATATTATATTACTTCCTTCAGTCTCTGATTATAATCAGAGACTGAAGGAAGTACCTACAAGAAAACATAATATGTCACACAGAAATAATCCTAAGGTACACATAGAATTTCACATTAAAGACAACAGTATTAAAAATGAAGATAGTTGGTCTAATATACCTAATCCAGTACAGTTTCGGCCACAAAATCTTGGGCAGTTCTGTCATTCCAGTGACATAAGCTATAAAACAGGTTTTACGTACTTATAACCTCAAATTTGTCATGTTTGTCATTTTGACGTAGACTGGAATGTAGATGACGTATGTCAAAATTTATATGACTTATGTCAAAATTTATTTTTTAAAAGTGTCAATCATTATGACAATAAAGCATAGACTACATCGTGTTTTTTTTAAATGACAGAAAAGTACTGCCCAACATTTTCTGGGCGAAACTGTAACAACAAACAAAGGAGAAGGTTGTTGACGGACACAGAGTTTTCCAGGTGTAGATGAAGAAAGTCTGGCCATAGTTTCTTTAATTCAGGTTTTTGAAGACATCTAAAAGCAATCCAAGAATATTCGTTAATTCCTGTTAAACAAATATTAAAAGAAACAATAAGACATATCTGTGAAACGGTATTTTTTCTCGACAAGTTGTTGACTTGAAACCACTTGTAGCTTTACACAATTTGCGACTAACCATTTTAAAAAGTCTTTAAACGAACATTAAACACTTAACACACCTCTAAAACAGTGTAAGTTACTTACTCACCCTACTCACTTGCTAGTAAGACTGGTTTGATAAAATTATTAAAGTGGACATGCGCGGCATATCGCGCTCAAATTAAAAAGAACAATAAAATGTACTTGTATTGATACCAAAAGTTACATTGCTGAGATACGGAGCACTCCCTCCGTCACATACTTGATGCATTTCATTTGTATTTTAATAAAATTTTATGATTTCAACAACTCCGTAAATCTGCTCTGAGTGATTTACAAATTGGTACTTTTTACCTACGAAGCGCACAACATATACTGTGGCACGATCGCCGCGCAGTCAGTTATGAAAATACAGCCCTATTTTCTAATGAGCGTTGCAACGAGTCAACCATTCTATTGCTGTCATAAAATTTTATTAGGATACAGATGAAATGCACCAACAGTATTCTTTCCTGCATGATCGTGAATTCGTGAATCAACCAACATTTGCGTGGGATTCTCTTCTTTTCACTTCTATGATAATTCCCTCTTCACTTTATCGCTCAATGGTCGATACCCCGCTTCCATTACTTCAAATTGTCAATAGTTCAAATTAGTTCCCCCGAGGGCGTTCGCGGTCGCAGCACTTACCTACATCAAATTTCTTAAATAAATATTTTCACAAACCAACATTTGTGCACCAAACAAACCAATATTACAAAAACAAACTCTAAACAACGCCACACCAACTCGTCCCACCAGTTCGAAAACTAACCTGCACCATGCACCGTCTTTGATGTTTTGCCGTCACTCACCTGTCAAAATTGATGAGAAATTTCCCAAAAAGTTGTATTAAAAATGTACCAAAACGCTTGCGGGGCTGCCGCCGCCAGTGCCGGGGGCTGCGTAGGGTCGGAGCGTGATTGTCACAGCCTCATATCCAAGGAGCCCGCAGTGCCTGCTATAGAGCACGACTACAGCGGATTCGACATTGTTAAAGCCACACAAGTAAGTAAAAACGCACAAACTGCGAAATACGATGCCACATCGAACGAACTTTGTAGTATGGGGCCTTCGCGAGGGTTAAGGAGCTGGTCGATGCAGGATATGATGTCAACCAACGAGACACTGAGACGGTGACACTGCTGCACTGGGCCGCCATAAACAACCGCAAGGACATTATCAAGTTCTTTATTGAGCGAGGGGCCGAAGTAGACGCCGTAGGTGGTGAGCTGAACGCGACTCCGTTGCACTGGGCCACCCGACAGGGACACTTGGATGCAGTCGTGATTTTGATGAATGCAGGCACCGATCCCACGCTTAGGGATGCCGAGGGCTGTTCGTGCATTCATTTGGCGGCGCAGTTCGGGCACACGGCTCTTGTGGCGTATTTTATAGCAAGGGGGATTAGCCCAGATCTGGCAGATAGAGCTGGGATGACTCCTTTGATGTGGTCCTGTTGGAAGATTTGCAGCCTCGATCCTACGAGGTTGCTATTGACGTTGGGGGCGTCTCCGAATCTCACTGATCAGCAAGGGAATACAGCGTTACATTGGGCAATATTAGCTAGGAATACTTCGGCAATATCAACGTTGATACTTCAGGTGGGAGGCTGGTACCTGAGTGGTTGAAGACGTGATTACTGTATGTATTTTTTAGGGGCAAGCTAGTTTAAATGTACCTAATCATCGGGGGGATACACCTTTATCAATGTTACAGACGCAGTTGGGAGCTATTTGGATAGGTTCTAAAGTGGCAGAACGCATTAAAGAAGCTGTAAATAGTGGACACTCTAGGAATATTTTAAGTAAAATTACTAAAGATAAAGTAAGTATTGATTTTGGGTGTTTTGTGTTTACAAAAGTTTTGAAAGTTTTATTATAAAACTAAATATTGATTTTATTTATTCTTATGTGACCTTCATGACAAATTTATTACTTAAAGGTAATTGAAAAAGGGAGAAGGTTGTGTTATTTTTGTTGATACATAAAAGTCATACTTTAATTAATTTTACTGCTTTTAATTATTATTAAAATCTATGTCTATTATTAAACATTAACAGAAAATAGTGATTGCTCTGTTACTTATGACGTTGTCATTTATAATTATGTTTGGCATTGACTTGCTTATACCTATATTTCAAAAAATCTATGTGTAGTACTAGCTACATATTTCAAGCATTTAATAATTTTTTCCGAATGACGTCATTAGTTTTCTAGAAGACACGACTAAATAAATTCTAATTTTACTTTCTGCTTTGTCATCTCTGAATTAGTGTTACTGTTGCAAAATTTCGAAGAAATCCGTTATCTAATCGCGGAGAAACTATAGAACCGTGCCACAATGAAATTTGGATTATTTTTATGCAACCTTTTTTTTATAAATTCTCCACCCCATAATTTGTGTCTTAGACAGCTAACAGTTTTAAGGTAGCTAATTTAGCAGATTGTCTTCCGCTACAACAAAAATAAAATATTTAAAAAAATAATCAAAGCTATGTTTTACGTTAAACGAAATCGAGTTGGTTTATTGTAAAGACAATGAATCAAGTATAAAGAGTTGAATTATTCTTATTTTTATAGATGTCACAATATTGTTCCCACGTACGTACGTTTATATATGTGATTTTAACGATACGAAATTTTTAAATAAATAAAATGGTTTCATTATTTTTAAATCCTAAGTATTGGTAGAATAACATAACATATTTAAATGTTCAAATAATCATTTGAAGTGATGTTATTTATTATTATTCGTCTAAAAACGTTTAAAAATAATAATCAAAAAAATCATTCCCTATTTCCACAATGACTACTTATTGTGGCAGTAAAAACTAAAACAGTAATTTTAATAATTTGAATTTAAATTATCGTTTGTATGACATGCTATAACAAAAATTCAAAGCTCTGATAACTTTGACGCACGTAGTTTTTAAATGTAAATTACGCATTGTATTATGAAACAAAGCATATTGTGACTAACATATAGGATAGTAAAAATTTTATCTTCGTTATGACGATCTCAAAAACGTCACGAGGTGCGAATTTCGTACGTTTCTAAGAAAATTGTACAGTTTTGTAACCATCAATTATTTAAAAAAAAGCGATATATTTAAGTTGCTAGAATTGTCCTAAAAAGTAAATTTTGTTATGTCAAAAATTTAAAAGTTGTGGAGACTTCATCTCGTAAAGTTAGTAGAGGTTTTTTTAAATATGCTGTTAATTGTGGTCTTATTTATTCTTTACTAAAGTAATCCAAGAGATTTTTTTTCTAGTTTTCATAGAACAAGCAAACCGGAAAAAGTTAACTATCCAAATATTCTTATCTTTAAAGCGTCTAAATTTCATGAAAACAAATACTGTTTATTCTTTTACTTGCTGTACAGTTTTATACGAATCTTCAGCATGTATTGTAGTGTTAATTAACATGTTTTTTTACTACCGGACGCAGGAGATACCTTTACAAATGTCGCCATTTAATAAAAGAGTTTAAAATCAATATTTGTTGCTTTAATTCTGTTAATTAATACGTCGCATAATCAAAATAAATTTGGCTCTTTGAAAACAACCTGTTATATAAGAGTTGTAAATTATATTGACTTTATATATATATTGATATAAAAGGAAGGTGCTGAAAATACAATTGCTGTTATACAATGACATTTGTATGCTTCTGTTCAAATAAATTCGTCATAATGGAACTTAAAAAAATAAATACGAAGCGAATTATTATAAGAACTTTAATATTTTCAACCAGTTTTCAATGAATTGAATAATACTGTCATTACAAAAAATTAAGTACAATTAAAAAACTAACAGAATATAACCAAAAACTCTGAATCTCAACTATATAATCCAAATGCGCAACAACCGTGTTTTGTGCAGTCTTTTTGAAAAGATTGCACTTCATTACAACATTCTCCAACAATACATCCAGTTGAAGTTCCAACACCAAAACTTACCCTTCTTTTTGTTTCAGAGATTACGGTGGTGGTGTATGGTCGGTACACCCTTCATGGCATTTTACATCGCCGGTTCGATTCTAGGCACAAATTTAATAATTTTAATCAAGCTATTTTTATTAGTATGCTTATATATAGTTTTACATTACGCCGGTCAAATTTTATACGACGATAGGTTAATGGCACTTCTACCTCTAAGTATTTACTTATCAACAAAACTGTGGATGTATTTTACGTGGTTCATATACATAATGCCGGTCACTGGCATACTTACAACGGTCGTCTTCCTTAGTAGTTCAGGAATACTGTGGTATTGTTTCCTAAAGTCATGGTTAGGAGACGCTGGAGTTATATCAGCCTCACAACAGTTAAGGTTTAGGGTGAGTACTATAAAGAAAAACGAGAATTGTCCTGATGACGTTTTATTTTGTAGACTATAATCGAATTAGCTGAACAGGGTTCAGGTGGTTTTGAACCGTCAACTTTTTGTTCGTCCTGTCTTGTTAGAAGGCCACTGAGGTCGAAACATTGCTCAGTGTGTAATACTTGCGTTGCTAGGTTCGATCATCATTGTCCTTGGGTAGCGAATTGTATAGGTGAGTTGTTATTTAATAATAAGATTAAGGAATCTCGAAACGACGATTAACTACGAATCTTTAGCGAATGAAATACGTATGAGTCACGTGATGTTGTTTTAACACCGTTTACTCACTTTAAGCTATATATTAGATTAGTTAAAACGTTCAGGCAGTTATTTTCTGGGTATTCGGTAACCGTACAGCTGATAGTCCATACGACTGAATGGTGTTCTTAGACACAACAAATACTGTCTTGTCCCTTGTTCCAAAAAGTATAGTGAAATCATAAAATTAAATGTTTATAATCGTAAAACAGTGTAAACTGCAGAGTTTACAATGTGTCACCAGTACAATGCAATTTTATAATAAGCAAGAAAATGCGTTGAAATGATTAGGCAACCAATAATACATATTATAAAAAATCGTACTGGATAGATGAATAAACTAGGTACATTGATTAAAAACATACAGATAGACCCATCCTATTGTTTGGAGCGAACGCGCCGCAGGCCGGTGAATAACGAACGCACCTACATTTGGCCGTCAAACCGTCGAATAGCTTGGTCCACAATCGCGCGCATAGGCAACCCTCATAACAGCAACAAATCTGTTCTTAAATCTACCACTCGATAGAGAGCGACGAAAAAAAAAAGTAAGAATCTCATAGTAAGCGTTAAGATAATTTACAACGTTGCCAGATGAGCCTAACACAACTTTGGCGTCATTTCTAGTCAATTAGATTTTATTGCGTTTAGAAGTTTCTGATAAATAAATGGGATTCTTATAATGAATAAATAACACAAACAAATTATTACTTGTTGTTTTAAATACTTGTTAGTGCTATTGAAAACTTAAAAATAAATATAAATAACGCATTGGAATTTTTTTCGCGCTTTCGTGAGCTCGCTTTAGTTACTAATAAATACAAAGGAAAATGATTTTAAATACGTTTTCTCAAAATTTACTATATAGAAACATGCATTAATATATGTCTTTAAAAAACGGGCAAAATATGGCGCATAAACTCGAAAGTAAGTCATTTTTTTTTTCACATTTTATGATGTAAGTACAATTAGATATATTGAGAACTCGATAAATTTATTGAAATATAATTTGTGTTAAAAAAGATTTTTGTCCTTTTATGGTCTATTTACATAATTTACTTTTTTACAATTAATGTTTTTAATACATAACACAAGTTCTTGATATATATAATTTTTTTGTTAAATAAGAATCGTGTTTTATTTAATTTTAACCAAGAAAATTTTTCGCTTCTTGTCTAACATCCTTTTGTACATTAAGAGCACGGGTAGTATAATACCATTACTCCATTGCTACCTACCTACTTCTGTTCACTACCTGGGCATACGGACCAAGCGAAAGATGTTGCAGTAATAAAACGTTGCCAGATGAGCCTAACACAAATTTACGGGTATTTCTAGTGAACTGGATTTTGTTTCGTATAGAAGTTTCTGGTAAATAAATGGGATTATTATAATGAATAACTAATACAAACAAATTATTATTATTACTTTTTTTAACCCATTAGACGCTTATAGGCTATTGCATACGTTTCTCGAAAAATCGTTGGTAATAAATTCAGTGAAGCATCTTTGCGCCTTAATTCCTATGCATAAATTGGCATTTTGAATAAAGGTCGAAGGAAAAAATTGTTATGGTTTTATGGTTTATCTACATAATTTAGTTATTTACAATGAATGTTTTTAATACATAGTATAAGTTTATGATATTATTTATTTTTATTACAATTAATAATCGTGTGTTTTCTTTAATTTTCAACAAGAAAATTTTGTCGCTTATTATCTAACATGTTTTTATACAATGAAAAACACCAGTTTACATCCCAGGACATTGCAGGAGAATATTTAAGTAAATAAGCTTTTGCTATATCACTTCGACAACTATTTAAAAAAAAAAACAAACAGTGGAAAAACGGAACAGATTCACAAATTTTTCTTTTATTTCTTCTGTTTTGCAAGGAGTGGGAAATATGGTGTTTGTACATTTTATAATGAAAATATTGATTTTAGGCAAATTTCAGCACCACTTACACACCTTACCAGATATGTAATAAATAAATAAAATTATTAAAACAGTTCAATTTAAATTAAGTCAAATAAATGTTAAAATAAGCAGATGCCTTGTTCTTCCATATAAACTTGCAAGCATTAAATTCTTCCATATAAATTTGCACTATTCAAATATAGCGTATAGCGTGTTTGGACTTGCCAGCACGTAGCCCGTATATGAATCCTATAGAACATCTGTGGGATGAACTTAAGCAAAGAATTAGAGATAAGCTCCCGGCTTCTGGGTCACTCCAAGAGCTCAGAATACCCATTGAAGAAGAGTATCCCGCAAGAAGTTGTCGTCACCTTAATTGAGTCCATGAATAGACGAATGCGAGCGGTTATTAGAGCTAGGGGTGGCTACACCGAATATTAACACCATTTTCTTCTTTAAATTGTTGATTTTGTTAACATAAAAAATTTCATTATTGAACAATTTTCTTTTTTGCCCAAAAAAGAATATTGCAAAACAATTTCATAAAGTTTTTCCTAACTCTGTTTTAAAGACAAACATCTGGTCTTTCTAATGTCTTTTTTAGTTTCTTTAAGTGTAATATAGTTCGGTGGAAAATTTGATTCAAAGTCAGATGTGAATACTGGCCCGATTTCAATGCTCGCAAGTGTAGTATATTTATATTACGTAAAATATTTCAATTTACAAAAACTGCAGCTTAGAATATCCTGATTTTTTTTACATTTAAACTCAATTTAAACCAGCTTCTCTTGAATCTTTTTTAAAAACACCAAATTGGATATTCGGCATTTTTTTTTTATTTTGATGCCATTTTCCTTTTTTAAATAATTTACATATAATTAAATAATATAAGATAATTTTTACATTGAAAGTCAATTTTACGTTGTACTGATAATGAATTTCTTCGTAAACACTTTCAAATATGTTTAAACACTCATCGATAACATTTCTAAAACTATTTTTATTACCACAAGATTTTTCGCTTGGCCAGAATGGTCAGGTAGTGATCGGAATAATGTGATTATTAAACCAAGAAATTGGGTAAATTTTCTTGGAAGAGTTTGTTTCATCAATGAAAATTTTTGGTTTTTAATTCTGGCGCTTGAAAGTCCCGCCATATTAAAATGGATTATTTCATAACCTGTTTCGTAATAACTGTAAATACTGGCCATATCGATCCCAAACTTGTACAGATACGTTTTTTAATGTTTCTATTTTCAATTAAATAAATTTTATTTTGCAAAATACCTAACATCTATACGTATGCACTACCGCATTCACTATATTTCCATTCTGTGCACTTTATTTTCATTGCTGAAATATTTTTCGCTTCACTCTTAAGTAGGGGCAGGTAAGAATGTAAGAACTGAAGTAGGTAGGAAGTATCAGTGAAACCAGCGGTCTTTTAATAGTTCGGAAATGAAGAGATTTAATCAAGTTTCCCAGAAAAGTCTGTGTATTCAATGAAAATTTTAGTTTTTTGATATAATTAAGTAGGTAGAATTTTAAGCCAGATCGACGTTTGTACAATACGCCATATTTTCTTCTCGCTGCAAGACAAAACAAATAAAAGAAATCTAAATCTATTCTATTTTGCCGCGGTTTGTTTTCTTTGAGATAGTTCTTGTGTCGAAGTGAAACATCAAAAGGCCGAAAGTCCCGAGATCAAAGAGTGAATTTTAAAACACATAAAAACTACTTCTTTTTGGAAAAGCTTATTTAAATATTGTCCTGTAACGTCCTGCGACGTGGAATAGAGTTTTTCAATGTATAAAAATATATTACATGTAGATAATAATAAGCGAAATATTTTCTTGGTTAAAAGTAAAGAAAACACGATTATTATTTGAAATAAAAATAAATAATGTCAAGAACTTGATCTAAAAACATTCATTGTAAATAAGTAAATTAGTAAACCATAATACCACAAAGAATCTTTTTTTAACACAAATTATTAAGAAAAAATCGATAAATTTTCAGTAACGAGTTATCGATATAATTGTACTTAGATCATAAAATGTGAAAGAAAATTACTTAAATTTTTTTAAGGCATATATTAATGCATATGTTTTGTCTTTAGTTTATATCTGCCCTTCTCTAGTGTAATAAATTTTCTAAAAAATATTGTAAATTTTGAGAAAACACATTTAAAATCATGTTCCTTCGTAATTATTAGTAACAAAAGCTTAAAAAAAATCCAATGTGTTATTTACATTTATTTTTACGTTTTCAATAGCACTAACAAGTATCGAAAACAACAAGTAATAATTTGTGTGTATAATTTATTCATTATAATAATACCATTTATTTATAAATAATAATAATAAATAAATAAATAAATAATCGGTTTATTTCCAACAGGTGATATTCACCTAATTACAGGAAAAACTAAAAATTACATAAATGTAGGTATGACTAAATAATATTTTTAATTTAAGTAGGATACAATAATAAAAATAAAAATAACTAGAAATTAAGAAAATCTGTGATTCTGTGAGAAAAAAAAAGATCAGTTATATTTCAATAAATGAAACAACAGCCTTTGAAATTGCAGCTATGGAGTTAGAGTAAATATCGCACACACAATTTATTTTATTAGCTATATCGGACATTAGTGCAACTGGAGACCTAACTAAGACATTAGTTCTTTTAGAAATACAATAAAATATGTTCGAATTTCTTGGGTTTAAACGAGGAACCAAAAAGTTTAATTTATGCAGAAGATAAGGGCAGTCGATCCGAAAATGAACTAGGTTATACAAAAAACGAAGAACGCTAACAACACGCCTAGTATGCAGCGTGGTTAGATTGAATCTTGCTAACAGAACAGTGTGATCAAAGCCTCTAGGAGGATAAGCACCGTCAATCAAGTAAGACATGAATTTCAAATATTTTCTCTGTAGTGTTTCCAAATGATTCACATGAATGTTATATATGGGATACCAAACCATTAT